TTTATTCTTTCATACGTTTAATTCGTTTTGGTTATTGTGTAAGGGATGTTAATCATAATATATTTTATTTCGTTTCTGCACTTATAATAAATATATACATTTCTTTTTAATTTTCGGGGCCGTTACACCAGCGACCTACAGAACCTACCATATAGAGCTTCACAAGGAGCCATCCCGATGCTAATATGATAACTATTATTGTATATAAACTCTAGTAAGGGCAATATATCCTCCCAATCTCCCCCCATGTCGATGACACATGCTTGTAACATATCCTCTAATACATATATCGTCTTCTCCGTCTGTCCATCCGTTTGCAGGTGAAAAGTTGTGCTGAAATTCAATTAAGCACCTAAAGCCTGTTGTAAACTTCTCCAAAACCTAGAGGTGAATCGGGAATCCCGATCAGAAACAATCGATACGGGAATGTCGTGTAACTTTACTACTTCTTTGACATACAGTTTGACCAACTGCTCTACTGAATCAGTCACCTTCATTGCTAAGAAATGGGAAGATTTAGTTAGACCATTAACTACCACCCAAATACTATCATGCTTCTTGTGGTTCCTTGGCAACCTGGTCACAAAATTCATGGAGACATATTCCCACTTCCACTAGGGTATGGGTAAAGGCTGAAACAAACCCTCATCCTGCCCATCCATCTCATCTCATCTCATCCCGGCCGTCCACTCCCTCTTCTCCAAACGACGACGTTTCCTCCTCCTCTTCTCCAAACAACACTGTTTCCTCCTCCTCTCTTCAACCATATAATTATGTTTATATCTTATTATTATTATTACCATATACATATATCTATAAATACAATAAATTTTTTTTTAATCCAATATTCAATTACTACATACTTTTAGTTAATTAACATGTATAAAAATTTGATTTTACTCCCAACATACATGTAAATTGTTATAACACATTTCTTATGATTAATTAATTTCATCATTTCAAAAAAAAAAAATCAAAATATAGGTGAAAATTGTATCAAGAAATTCAATTTCAATCTCGCAATTAAACAGTGCTATAATTTTATACTTCATATTAAAAATTCGTGCAAATAAAATAAATATTCAATCAAAATTGAAGAAGCACATCCTTAATATTTAATATATATATATATATATCTAACAATTAATTCATATGCATTAATTTAGGCTAACCATACATCACCCAATTATTAATTATGGTTATAGACGTTGACGTGACAATTTTTTTCTAACAAATCTTTATGCGAATCTCAAGTAAATTATATGATTTTGGTCATGATTTAGTGCAACAAACTATGTTTCTATCAATTATTTATATAAAGTACCCTATTATAAAATATTTCAATACATCATATTCATGAAACGGATTTAAAATATAAATTGTTAAAATCAAATCAAATCAGATTTAAGTAAATTAGTATTTAATTAAAGATAATAAACACAAAAAGATACCTAAATTCATAAAAAAAATATATATTATTTTTACATCCTACAATAAATTTTTTAAATCTGTACAGTTGTAAAAACTGATTTTTGTTATTAACGGAATAACAAGAAATAAACTAAAATCACTTAAAGATTATATTCGTTTTTTATATTACCAATTTTTATTATTTTTTATTTTATTCATTATAAAATAAAAAATTATAAATATAGTATATATACATATTATAAATCTATACTACATCAAGATTCATAATTATTTAATCGTAATTAATTATTTTAAATAAAATTAATAAACTGATAATATGTTACACACATTAATATTCACGTTAAATTTATTTTAATAAAAAAATCTAACATAAATATTATACTATTAAATAATTTAATTTCAAAATTTTAAAAATTTCTTTGCAAGTGTATGTCAAATCAGCCAAATGAAAAGTAATGACTAAATTAATTCAAACTATTTTAAATTATAATTAATAATTTTGACCTTGACCTTTTTTTTTTTAAATATATATATATTTGAAGGAGTCAATTATATTGAAAATTGAATGCACAAGTAAGAGAAAGAATCCAATGAAAATTGAAATAAATGAAATTAAACTGAATAAAAATAATTCACACTAATCAACTTTTCTATTATTATTATTATTATTATTATTAAACCCAAATAAAATAATTTAAAAAAAAATTTATAATTTGTTTATTTTTATTAACTAATTTATCCAAAAAAAAACTAATTGTTATTATTAATTATAAAATATAATTATAATGGTAATAATTTTTAAAAAATTCCCTTTAAAAATAAAAAGAAATTCCAAAATTTTGCAATTCACATCAATTTTTTTCTCTCACGATTATTACCTTTGACAAATCAGTCAATCAATAATTAAATTAAAAATAGGGAAAATGTTATATAAAACATCTCCATCAATATTCATACACTGACACATACACACACTTCTTCTTGTTTTTATTTTATGAAATTAAATAATTATGTAAATAATGCCAAATTATTCATGTTTGTTTCGTATGATAAAGGTATTTGGAAGTATATATTTTCCCATCTAGCTATATACCCCCTAGGTCGGTCCAATTGTGGCATTTATTGATGATGGCCAACTATATATTAGTTTCCATTATTCGGAAATAAGACAGAGGTTGATTTCTTATCAATAGACCCTTTTAAGGTTTTTTCTTTTTCTTTCTTTCTCACATGAAATTATGGGTCTCAAAAATTTATATGGACTTTGTGCTTACGTGAATAGAAGTATAGCGGTGTGTGTATATATATATGTATGTATGTATGTATGTTTGTAAATCAGACAACGGCTGTTATTGTGTGATTGACCACAGAAGAGATATAAGTTAAGTTACGAGGCTAAGATATGTCAAATTCAAAAGGGTCCATGCATGACTAATGATGAAACCGTGCTAATTATGTTTAATGCCATGACGATTGGCAACACGTATGCCACAAATTTTTTGACCGTTGATATTTTTTTTTAAAATTTTATAAATTATTAAATTCTTTTTAGTGCTTACAAAATTAAATGATACTCTACAAATATCTATTAAATACAAATTTAATCTTTACAACTAGTAAGATGATTTAGTGATAAAAAATATACATTTTATTTATATTTAATATGTAGAGTTTGTTATTTTATAAATATATTATAAATTGACATTAATAAATTTATAACATTTGATAAAATGAAATTTAGTGTTTGATTAATTAATTCATTTTATAAGAAGACCGTAATAAAAAAATAAACTTATTTATAAAACCGTGATATATTAAAATAAATAATGGGTTGAATAAAATCCAACATAGTATTATTCTAACTAAATATTTTAAAAGAATAGATTTATATATAATTATTTTAAAATTTAAATCCAAGTATTGTTGATTATTTTTTTTTAATTTATATTTTTTTCTATAATTTATTTGTGACTCGTCAAACGTCGGACTTCAATTATAATTAAGAAAAAAAAATATGAATTACTAGTTTCGTAGTTGTTGGTAATTACTTAATTTAATTAGGTTTAATTTTGAGAGAGATGAAATAAAATAAAAAAGAAATCACGAAGAGCCGAGCGGTTTTGGTCAAATACCTCGAGCTGGTGGGCTTAAACGTCGACGTTTAGGCCCAACACTGAAATTTTTTATTTCTGACCCAAAGGGCCTCGTGATGTTAACGATGAGCCATATAGCGGAGAATCAAAATGCTCCACTGGACCCTGCACGTACGCACACGGCTATATTTCAAATATTGTATAATTAATATTAGAATAAATTATTTAGTTTATTTTTTAAAATTTAATGGGACAAGAATTTCTATCCTTTTATTGATTTTTTTTTTTACTTTAAAAAATACAGAGAAAATATAAAATTACAAATATATCTCATTAAAAAATTTAGAATCTCGTTAAATTAGAGCTTACCATATCTTCGAAAAATGTGAATTAAAAAATATATTTGGAAATAAAAATATGTAATTACAAAATTTTGTTCACATTTTAAACGCAATAATTTAAATTAAAAATAATTCGTATATTTTTTTAAAAAAGAAAAATATATTTATTGCACCTTCAAACTTCGAAACGTGAGCTAAACCATGTGTGGGGGACTTTTTTATTAGGCCTCGAAGCAGATAAGTCATACATATAAATATATATATATATTTATAAATACGCACGTGCATACACACACACACACACACATATATATATATAGGTTATGGCATTATGGTGTCGATAAAATGTTAGAACGCACTGAGTCAACTTTGTTTCCGACATGAATTTGTATCTACCTTCTATATTTGTCATCTGTAATTGGTTGCTAATCACCCAACATGGTTAATAATTAATAATTAATAATTAATATATGCTTAGATTGTTGACAATGCATTATTATGGATAATAATTAAATTACTTTAAGATTATTCATTTAATGGTAAAATTAGTTTAAACGTTAATAATTTATTATCAATTAATATCATTTACTATTTTCAAATTAATTTAAATTTTCTCCATGGATAAAGTTGGAAAAACCAGATATCTATATATATATATATATATTATATTATATATAGGTCATGACAAGCACACCGAAATGAAGCAACAAGCACCCTGGTTTTCATTGTGATTTGGATAAACCCTAGGAAATACCTAACAACAATAATTAGAGATATTGTTAATTAATTAAAATATTTTATCTTTTTGACTGGTTAGCATTTGTTAATGTTTGTATTTACTATTTGATCATTAACAAATTAATTTAATCAGGAGGTAATAATCAAGCTTTTATGTTAAATAAATTAGTTTACCCTTTTAATCATAATTTTTTTAAAAAAAAAAAATCGTAGTTGTTAAGGTAATAAAAATCTTAAAATATAGAATTTAATTTGTCAAAGATTTAGTCTTATGCAAATCAACAAATTAAGTCTGTTAATCAGTGTTTAAGCAAAGCTTTAAACAGTAACAATGTTAAAAAGGTATTCCGCTGTTTTTCAGGAAAAACTGTGGGTTTTTATACTTCCATCCAAAGCCGGTTGCAGCAAAACCATGGGCAGTTTTCTTTTTTTCTTTTCTGTCAGCAAGAAATTAAATCTGCTAAACTCAAAACCGGCTGCTACGCTCTCTGTATAATACTCTGCCTCCCTGTCTATTTCCCCTCCTCAATATCCAAAACCTAGAAATTAGAAAACTTTCTTCTATTTTCTATCTCTAATTGTTTCGGCGTATAAATCTTTGAGTACCCCTGTCATTTTTTTTTTCTCTGGATGTTAGGTTTTTTTGAAGAAGGAGATAAAATAAAGCTGTGCAGGGACCCTGTTGATTGTTACAGCACGATTTCAATTTTCGAGTATGTTTATTTTCTCTATCGCCTTTTCAGTTCGTAGTTAGAAGCTTTTCTTTGGGTAGTGGGGTAAGGGAGTTGTCTTCTCAAATGGGTTTTCCTCTGTTTTAATGTCGAAGCAGAAATTAGAGAGTAATAGCCAATGACATTGTTAGTAACTGGGAGTTTGTGTTTAGAATATCTGGTAAATTTTTTTCTGTGTGGAGTCAGATTTTCAGGTTAATGGAACCCAATGGTTTGCCCGGTGGGATTTTTTCTGGAATTGGTGCAGGAATGTTAGGTCTTGAAATGCCACTTCATCCTCAACAAAACCCTCAAAACCCTCATCACTTACAGCAGCATCAACAAATGGTTTCCTACGCCCCCCATGATGCTGATCATCCTCAACAGACCCAGCAATCGATTAAACAAGGATACCCATATGGCCAAAAGCCCAAACAAGCATCGTTATTAAGCGATGAAGATGACCACGGGTTCAATCCCGACGATAGTACAGGTGATGGGAAGAGGAAAATCTCGCCATGGCAGAGAATGAAATGGACTGACAGTATGGTCAGGCTTCTGATAATGGCGGTTTACTATATCGGAGACGAAGCTGGATCTGAAGCAAATGATAAGAAAAAAGATGGTGCGTTGTTGCAGAAGAAAGGGAAATGGAAATCTGTGTCGAGAGCTATGATGGAGAAAGGGTTTTATGTCTCGCCACAACAGTGCGAGGATAAATTTAATGATTTAAACAAGAGGTATAAGAGGGTTAATGACATTCTTGGAAAGGGAACAGCTTGCCGTGTTGTGGAGAATCAAAGCCTGTTAGAAACAATGGATTTGTCGCCGAAAATGAAGGAGGAAGTCCGTAAATTGCTTAATTCTAAGCATTTGTTCTTCAGGGAGATGTGTGCTTATCACAACAGTTGCGGCCATGGCGCTGCAACCACCGTCGTCGGCGGGCCTAGCGGCGCCAATGGCTCATCGTCGGTTCAGAATGACGCATCTCAGGTTCAGCACCAGCAATCCCAACAACAACGACAGCGGTGTTTGCACTCGTCGGAGAACGCTCATTCGAGCAGAAGCGAAGCAGATGGGTCGAAAATGGGAAGAACCGGGAGCGAGGAAGACGACGATGAGGAAGATGACACCGAGGATGACGATGACGAGGAAGACGACGAAGAAGAAGGAAACTCCAGGGGTCAAAACGGGCATCGACACGAAGATCACGACAACGAGGATAACAAGTTTTCGTCTAAAAGGCAACGAATAATAGGACCCTTGTCCTCCCCTCAATCGCCATTGATGCAGCAATTGAGCTCCGAGGTGACGAGTGTGATCCAAGACGGAACGAGAAACGGGTGGGAGAAGAAGCAATGGTTGAAGATGAGGTTGCTGCAGCTCGAGGAACAGCAAGTGAGCTACCAGTGCCAGGCGTTCGAGCTAGAGAAGCAGAGGCTCAAGTGGGTGAAGTTCAGCAGCAAGAAGGAGAGAGAAATGGAGAGAGCGAAACTGGAGAATGAGAGAAGAAGACTCGAGAGTGACAGAATGGTTTTGCTGGTTCGACAGAAGGAACTGGAATTGCTTCATGTTCAACACCATCATCATCATCATCAACAGCAGAATTCTTCAAACAAGAGAAGCGATCCATCGTCAGTCACTGGTTGATTTACGTAAATTAATTGTGTTAATATACCAAGAGAGATGATGTAAGGATCAACATAAGTTTCTTTATTGATAGAGTAGTTACGTCTTTCTCTCTTGGTTAATAATAAATTTATTTTTGCTCACCGAGACCAAGGTTATGATTGGAGTAAAGTTATTTTTTAATATAAATTTATACATTAATTAATTGATATAGATATATCAATTAAGTGATAGTTGATTGGCCGTGACAAATTTATTTTTAAGCTAAAAATATATACAAATTTTACTACAATGACAAAAAAAAAAACCTTAATAAAAAATTCTATAAAATTTTGCCCATGAAGTTAGAGTTTAGGAGTTTTTATGTACGATTCATCAGTGGATTTTGCCCATTAAAATTTTCCGAATGCATATAACTTGACAGATTGGTTGGTACATATTAATTCATTTCAATTTTTTGTTAAGATGAGAGTAAAATTTTAAATCTACCAACCATATTTATGGAATTTACCTCTTCATATGCATTAACCTTAAAAAGTGAGTTAAATATGAAAATATATAATATTATTAAAATTTATAATGTTAGAATATAGAAATGTCCCACTCACTATTGTCATTTTAAGATAAATGAGAAATTATTTATAGGACCCATAATTTCACGTACTGATTTTTACTATTTCATTCAACAGTTAAGAATTAATGGAAATGGACTAAAAACATAAAAAATAAACTAATTGACAATCAATTATATTGTCAAGGGTAGAATACTTTAAATTATTATCACTGAAAATATTTGGTAGAAATGGATAAAATAAACGTTATACGTGTTTATAATAACAAATGTATAAATTATAACCATGGAAGTATTCTTTCATTATCATCTTTGTTCGTATCTGCACAGATCCCTCAAGCTATGACTTAAACACTTTACACAATTCCATCTATTTCCATCGGGCTAAAACCATAAAATCCCGATTGAAAATGAGCTTATCAATTCCAATTTTGCATTGTCCTATGTTTATATCTTTGACCCTTCTCTTTTGTCACGGCGGTGTTAAGAATAAACAAGGGAATTCTGGGTCAAGTTGGGCATGCTCTATAGGCATAAAACTTAAGAAATGGGGCAAGGCCCTTAGCCCTACAAGTCCTGGGCACACCTTTAGTATAGCAAATTGACAGATGCTGCAGCCAAAATGTATCTACTTGGTTAAACTCCCAAGCATTTTTAATATTTCAAATTTATTTCAACTAGATACCACCACCAATCCACCAAGTACAACGAAAATAATCAGCAACATATTTCCCAACCGTATAAAAACACCAGCAAATTGCCTTCCTGTTCATGAGTTTCCAGGAGAGCCATCTATCCATCTGCATTTCTCCATCAATAACGAAAAAGAAAACGTGCCAGATTAGGGTAGTGGAAATTTAGTTGTTGAGATAAATAAACTGTGTGATTCGCCTTAAGAGGGTTCAACCGAAATGGGAGCCATGTCCAATTAGCATGACAGACTTTCAGTTTTTCTTTTTTTTTTTTGGGTT